TCCTCTAAGAGCTGGTTTTAATTCAGAGTTTTCCTTCTCCTAGATCAGTTGCCATCCAAGGCTATAGAACCTAGTCTGTCCTGCTATTTACCCATAGCTTCTGTCTTAATTCCTGTCCTTTTATTGTTTTCTCACATTAATAATGTTTTTCTCATATTCTCTCACACCCAGTAACTTATTGTGCCTTAGTGGCTTTATTGCCTTCTTTGGAGTTTAATGATTAAAATATGAAGGAAAATCTATGTCTGGTTTATTGTGCTCTAAATTTGACCCACTGAATTATCATTATTATTATTATTATTATTATTATAGTAATTATTTCCTTTGATTTCTGATGTATACACATATGTATACGCATTATCGGCCGGGCCGGGCCCCAACCAGAGACCTAAGGTCAGAAATGGCTTCATGTAATTTTCCACTGATTATTTCTATAACCCCAACCCAAAAGAAAAGATCACACATATTTTACATAGAAAAATATCTTCGTAATGCGTGAGCTGTACTTGTTAATACAAATTTTGTATTTCTTTAATGCATGGGCTTCCAGAAATCCCTTCCATGTGTATATCGGGACATTTTCCAATCAATTCGAAGTCTTCAACTACAACTGAATTGTTGATGTCTTCATGTGCCATCTTTTTGAGATTTACCTTTCAAAATCTTTGAATTTTGATAGTTTTTGAAGATCTTCAAAGATACACTCAAATCTGCAAGAAAGCACATTCTGTTTTTCTGGCCTTTGATCACGATGTCTGCGTGATTAGTTTTAATTGTTCTGTCTGTGTGTATTGTAAAGTGCCATAAAATTCTTATTGGATTATTATTATGACTATTATTATTTACTGATGGTTTTATATGGAAGATTAAGTGATAAGGAATCTGCGCAATATATCAATATTATTACTCTCAGTTTTATAACCATTTTCACTAGTGCCTGGATTATCCCGGTTTTTTCTCGAGTTTATAATTCTCCCAGTCTTTGTGTCAGACCTTTCCAGATAGTTCCTAACTTCAAATATCCTCAGTTCTCTCGCGAGGTGCAGAGACTTGTCCAGCTATTATAAAATTTGTGGAGCGCTTTGGTAATTCGTTAATTATGATATTAGTTTCATGAGTTTGATTATAGTCAGTAGTAGGATTATATTCAGTCTAATAGGATTGGACACAATTTAGTAGGATTATATACAGTCTAGTATGATTAGACTCAGTTTAGTAGGATGAGACTCAGTTTGGTAGGATTAGATTCAGTCTCGTAGGATTATATTCAGTTTAGTAGGATTATACTCAGTTTAGTGGGATAAAACTCAGTTAAGTAGGATTATACTCAGTTTAGGGGATTATACTCAATCTATTAGGATTATGCTCAGTCTAGTGGGATTAAACTCTAGTAGAGTCTAGTAGGATTATATTCAATCTAGTAGGATAATACTAAGTTTAGAAGGCTTATAGTCAGTCTAGTAGGATTATAGTCTAGTAGGATTAGACTAAGTCTAGTAGGATTAGACCCAGTTTAGTAGAATTAGACTCAGTCTAGTAGAATTAGACAGCTTAGTAGGATTAGACTCAGTCTAGTAGGATTAGACTCAGTCTAGTAGGATTAGACCCAGTTTAGTAGAATTAGACTCAGTCTAGTAGGATTAGACAGCTTAGTAGGATTAGACTCAGTCTAGTAGGATTAGACTCAGTCTAGTAGGATTAGACTCAGTCTAGTAGAATTAGATTCAGTCTAGTAGGATTAGACTCAGTCTAGTAGGATTAGACTCAGTTTAGTATGATTAGACCCAGTTTAGTAGAATTAGACTCAGTCTAGTAGGATTAGACAGCTTAGTAGGATTAGACTCAGTTTAGTAGGATTATATTCAGTCTAGTAGGATTAGTCTCAGTCTAAATCTAATATATTAGACGCATTTTCGTTTTTTTTTTCTTTATTTTTGTTTATGGATATATGACTTTAATTGTTTCACTAGAAATAAAATGCAATATGGTGTTCAGCTAGCAAAACCCGGTCGGTACGTTTAAAGTGTGCTAAAGTACACACTATCAATTATGAAGTATAAAAATATTTTAAGTAAACCATCTATTTGTCTCCAGAAAAAAAAATGTCTGCAACTATGTGTGTGTATATCTTTGTACCTTCTATGTTTATCATTGGATTATGTATCATTTCTGGTAACAGTCATGTCTTTTTCTTAAACCACAAAACGTATATTCGTCTTTCTCTGCAAGTTTGTTTAATAAGAACGTGTTTTTATAATGTCTGTAAAATGTCTGTAAAATGTCTGTAGAATACTTTTAATACTTTCTAGACCGATTTTTTTTTTATAATTCTATAAGTTTTAAGATATCTCAAATTTTAATTTAATACATGTGCTATCTATACAGTTAAATCTGTATTTACACTATACATATGTAGCTTTATTTGAGCGGAAGCTGAAAAGGTTACGAATGAGAAATAACCAAAACGGAGATTAGAAATAAAATGTTAATCTTTATAACATCAACAAAATACAATACTCGCCAGTTGCGTGAAATAGGTAAACCACTGCTTGTGGTGAACTACTTATACAGCATATTACCCCCACTTAGAATAGTGTCCAAAGTATTTATGAGGATTGGGACATAGCCGTTAGTGTTCATAGGTACAGTATATAACAGAGCCTCAAAATTTGGGTGACAAATTATTCTCCACCTTCCAACCTCTCTCCAACAGGCAGGATGTGGCAAGCCTCTCGCTTCCCTGTCGCTACTTCCACGGAAAATGCTTGGATGAAGTACATCCCCTGGCTTCACCAATTCAAACCTTCACGGCAAGGACACACCATGTCACTTACACATTCCATCCGTATTCCATCGGTGAGAAGTAAGTTCCACTCGAACAGCTTTTTCCCGCGAACTACTGCTCTGTGGAACCGACTTCTAAGAGAATGTTTCCCCGATCACTACAGTCTTAAACTGTTCAAGGCTTGGGTTAACCGTCATCTTTCACTCTTATCAACACAAATTGTCCCCTAACCTAGCCCTCTACTTCGAGTGGCTCCCGGGCTGTGTAAGGGGTGAAGTTTACTGTAAAAAAAAATAAAAATAAAAAAATAAAT